CAAACCCCCCCCCCCCCCCCCCCCCGCTTCCTTCATCTTAACGAAAAATGTTTTAATCTCATGAGATGACCTACTCTACAAAGCTTTGGTTAATCTTAGTTTTATGGGGAGGGTTCGCCGCTGTCTTTTCCTTGGGACAAGAGTCTTTCGAGATCCTCAAAGTATCTACCCTCCTTTGACTTGGCCCTGCTCTTTCTCTCCCCCCTCCCCCGCCCCCCCCCTTGCCTTTGGCTTCACCTCACTTGAAACCAGCGACAGTTTTTTGTTGCTTTACGTGAATCGCCGCTTTGAAGTTTTAGCTGATACATATACGTGTATATACATTTTAGTACATACGAGACCATGTGCATAGACATACACGTATGAAGATAGGGGATAAAAAAGTAGACGGACAGTAGAAAAAAAAAGTAGGGATGCTTTCTCGAAACAAGGTAAAAGCGGATACTCTTAAAATGAATCTCTGTGACGATAGCTTTATTTTTGTGTTGTCGACTGAATTGGTATGTAGAAATAATTAATTAAATAATTCAATTTTTTTTTTCATCATACGTAACCAGGGGATGAATCTTTTTTTAAACAGTCTTTCGTTATTTAACCCCTCGAGAGACGGTGGAGAAAAAAGGAGAATGAATCAATTGTACAGACGTAATCGGCAGTAGGTAGCAGTAATCCAGGAGACAATCAGAGAGGTCAATCGATTTAACTTCTAGACAACTTCGGGTGGGTCGACCCTTTCATTCGGAATAACGATGAAGTTTGTAGCCGAATGTCATTTATTTTCAGAAGCCGCGTGATGGCCCACTCGATTCTCATTTGAATTTTACGAGAGAGCGATAAAGAATTTACCACTAGGGAGAGGTCTATAACGGAGCCGTTTAATTAATTTTCAATTAAAATTTCGATTCCTCTACGAATGCCTAACTCGATGGTATAATTATTATTATTATTTTAATGCACTCCCCCCCTCCTACTCGAATACCCAGGTAACCAGGGAGTCTGACGTTTTTCTTCCGATTCGAATTCTCATCCCTGCATGGGATGCTGGATGGTCCAGGATGTAATCTATAACCACTTCCTCCCGGTACTCTCGGACCAGTCGAGGGGTCCAGTAGGTATATGCTGCTATAACGTGGTATATGAGTTCCTCTCTACTTCACAAGCTATGATCGATTTGTCGATCGATGTTTCCTAATATACCCTACGTTTATGTAACATTTATGCCGAGCTTTTCTCGTCATTCATACCGTACTGAAATGGTCGTGCTTATTTCTGCTGCCGAGATGCTCGGCGATAACGGCAGGTTCACGACATTCACATTCATTCATAGACTTCAATGGGAAACGAATGTACGTTTGAGTTGTACACGTATGAGAAGGAAAAATTTATTTGTTTTTGTATATATATAAATTGTACCTGTTATCGGTGTTGTAGGATATTTTCATACAATGACAATTAAATAATAATGATAATTATCGTTTGCCGTGCCGATTTATAGTCAGGGTTATTGATTTGTTTCATCATGTGGATAGGTAATTTGGTGCTTCGGATTTAGACAGGCTGAAATAGCTCGGCGGATGAAAAGAATTAAATATATATATGTATATGTATATACACGGTGGCACTTAGTTCCGTACGGCTAAGCAGCCCGTTTCCACGTTTGATTCGCTTAATTGGCGGAATTAGGTCTAATTTTGGGCTACGTACTATATGACCCGGTAACGACAAGGGTGTTGATGCTCTGGATGTTATAAAATTTACGAGCAAATTTCAACGTTCTTTCATAATAATTGGCGTAGATCGTGAAGCTGCTTATGGCCGTTAAGGGATTGGCCCCCGGGAACTTCTAATCCAAAAGGGTCTGACGTGGAATTTCCGCCGATTAGATGAAACTTTTATACGAGTTTACTTCGTTTTTGTTTTATCCGTTATTGATTTTCTTGACAAAATTGATACGAGGAACGAAGTCTTTTTTTATTTTTGGAAAATTCAATCTTACGTGAGTCAGTGTTTTTTTTGTATCTGAGGTGTCGATTCAAATTTTGATTATATTATTTTTTTCTAGGATATTTCCATGTATCGATTGCTCGTGTATATTAACATATATAAACAGTAGCTTGGGAACTTTTTATTTTGGCAAATATAAGATTGGAGGTTGTACGTCACTCAGGGAAATTGGAAAGGGGTGGCGAATATACTCGTCAAATGTATTCAAAAAAGATAGGGTAGATTTTGAGTTTAGAATTGGTTAGGATATATCTGTATATAGATTAGGTAATATTTTCTTGTTAATATATATATATATATATATATATATATACATATATAAAGGTCCTGTTATGAGTTTTATACTGGGGTGACTCCTTTTACATTGAGACACGTAAGGAGATGGCACTCGAAAGTGATTTGATCGATAATCCTATATCGGTGCAAAAATTTTCGCACGACCAATTCTCAATCGTTACTTTACTTTCGCGAGGTCGATTTATATTTGCACAAATCCTAAGTGCAAAATTACATCCTCTACCTCTCCCACTAAGCCGTTTCCGCAATTGCACAAATTTGTACGTCCTCGCAAGCCGCGCCGGGCGACGTCATGCGTTGCTATAGTGGCGACAACTGCGATAAACTTTGCCCAATGACCTGCCGGCAAGTTTTAATTAGCTGAGGGGCTGGCGTAGACCGAATTCAATGAATTTCTTATATCCGCTCCGGAGGGGTGGTTGGTGTTAATGAAAAATTTACTAGACAGGAAACAAGTATGAGAAAATCCAAAAAGAAAAAAAAAAATATATCAATACTTGGAAATGGCATAAACCATCGCGAAATGAATTTCGGTAAAGGAATCGGGAGCATAGGAAATATGACAATATGAATGAAACTTGTTTTTTTTTTAATAATAAAAAAAATATTCTCCATAATTATATCGATCGTGGAATTGTGCCTTGTTCATTTTTATTTAAAAGAAAATGTCTTTTCGCAAACGCAAATTTTGACAGCACATATGATACCAGTTGAAACGTATATTCCTTCTACTACCTCATATGTATTTACGGACGGGACGGTAATTAGTCGAAAAATGTCCGGTCGGTCGAGACCTTTTTTTTTTTAAACGGCCACTATGTGAATGGAAGCGGACGGTAGTATACCGGTTGCGCGCCACTATAAGCGGACACGTAAATGCACGAGGATGCCCGAAGACAGCCGAAGTAACAAACCCTCGTCGCTCGGGAAGCTGTCGCCCCACCACATCCAGTCGTGTTTCGAGCGCCAGAGCGCGAGCTTCGAAAGTGCTTGGTCGGTACCCGCGGTGATCCGTGCGACACGTTCCTGTCAAATTTCCAAATAAAGTACGCGAGTGATTTCGAAATCGAAAACCTAACCTCTTGAAATAAATTGGCAAAACGAGTTTGTTCTGACTTGAACGGATTAATTAAATATCTCTGATAATCGAGGATAAAGTCAATCGCCCGAAAAGTAAGTCGCACTTTTAATCGTACGAAATGTCGATCTAACGATCGATCGATTAAAACTCTCGTGGGAAAAAAATCGGCGTCGGTGTTTTCGCGTGATTAAATTTTTTTATTTATTTTGTTTTTCTTGTTTTCTAAATAAAATCGGTAAGACGCGATAATTGTTTTTTTTTTTTTTTTTTTTACGAAATCGAAGCATTTGGTGACGTAGTTTTTCTCCTGAGTGCTCAATACAGTGATGGGGTCCTACTGAAGGCTCGCGAAAAGTAAAAAGTGCTCGAGATGAATTTGAGATGTACGATTTCGCGACATTGCCTTTAAGAATGTCAGCAGCAGTCGTGCGTGTGTCGTCGAATTGAAGGCGCCTCCTTGGCAGCGATAATACGCCGGTTTATGAGGTGTGATCGGTCGTAAGGTTCAACGTTGTTACGAATATGGAGTCGGACACGAATTGGCCGAGAAAGAGTCTCGAGGTGACGATGCCTAAGAAATTCCGTAGGGAATCGTCTCGGATGAACTGGAGCCGCATAAACGGGGCTATGTGCGTCCTCTGCTTCGCCAGCCTTGTTGTCTCTGGGATTCTCGCCTACAGAGAGATGCTGCTTGAGTCGAGGGTTGCGAAACTTGAGGCCCGTTGCCAGGCACAGGAATCCGCTGAAGTTCTCGTTCAGAGGCTCAGGAGGGAAGTTCAGGAGCAACTTGATGTGCGACGCGAGCATCCGGAACAAACGACCGTATTTAGGATCAAGAGGGACGTAACCGATTGCAACTGTCCAGCAGGTAAATGAAAAAAGTTTTGCAAAAATTATAATTATTATATATATATATATATATATATTTTTTACGAAAAACTGTGAAAATTAATAAACGATTTGTGGACGATGTAAAATATTTTTACGTGTATGAAAAACATTTTTGGCTCTGATTGAAAATTATTATTTCATCGGTCACGCTTATCGCGGCTCTTTACTCTTATCCGTTATCACGAAATACTGTTTCGCTATCGAACCTATCGGAATTCGACGAAAATTTCCTACGCTTGCGACGTTTTCCCCGAGACTTTCGGTATCCCGCTAGCGATTTTCGGGAACGGAATGAAATGCGAATCGTAGCGCGAAAGTTCATTGTACCTGTAACGCGGATGGGAAACTTAATGTAACGTTTCACGCAGACCCGTTCAGGCGGAACGTCGTGCATGTTCGCGAAGTCAACGATAAATACGAGAGTCGACGTACCGAGAGAAAAATATTAATCCGACTGGATTTAATATGTTTGATATAAAAAAATATTTTTTTATTTTTATTTTTTTTTTTTTTAACAAAAATAACAAACCCACCGCACTCGACTTGCACGAATCACGAATAATTGTCAAAAGTTGGTCCACCACCCCCCCCCCC